TAAAGAGAGTATACGTGTTATTACACGCTTAGATACGTGTTATTACACTTCATGCATTAAAGAGAGTATACGTGTTATTACACTTCATGCTTTAAAGAGAGTATACGTGTTATTACACTTCATGCACTAAAGATTACACTTCATGCATTAAAGAGAGTATACGTGTTATTACACTTCATGCATTAAAGAGAGTATACGTGTTATTACACTTCATGCACTAAAGAGAGTATACGTGTTATTACACTTCATGCACTAAAGAGAGTATACGTGTTATTACACTTCATGCATTAAAGAGAGTATACGTGTTATACACTCATGTAATTAAAGAGAGTATACGTGTTATTACACTGTGTGCATTAAAGAGAGTATACGTGTTATTACACTTCATGCACTAAAGAGAGTATACGTGTTATTGCACTTCATGCTTTAAAGAGAGTATACGTGTTATTACACTTCATGCACTAAAGAGAGTATACGTGTTATTACACTGTGTGTATCAAAGAGAGTATACGTGTTATTACACTTCATGCATTAAAGAGAGTATACGTGTTATTACACTTCATGCATTAAAGAGAGTATACCTGTTATTACACTTCATGCACTAAAGAGAGTATACGTGTTATTACACTTCATGCACTAAAGAGAGTATACGTGTTATTACACTTCATGCATTAAAGAGAGTATACGTGTTATTACACTTCATGCATTAAAGAGAGTATACCTGTTATTACACTTCATGCATTAAAGAGAGTATACCTGTTATTACACTGTGTGCATTAACCCCAGCACAAGTAGAGTGTTTGACAGTTGTATAAGGAACCAAAGGATTGTATCTACATCCTTACTTAATTCCAAAGTTCCCGCAGAGTTAAGGCAATACTTTTAAACCTCTAGGACACATTTAGAGGCAAGAATCCGATCGGAAGTCAAACTTCTGCAACTCTTCTGGGTTTTAGATGACAATCTGAGAAAAAGCTTACAGTAAGAATCTAATTCCAGCACAGTTTCCTCAAAATATATTCAATAGGTTTCTGAATTTAGTTGCTAAAAACATACAGACTCCTCAAGAACACGAAGCGTTATGTCACGCTAGTTTTTGATACAAATTCATAGCTTGACAAGGTTTAAAGAAGTACTCTTATTCTTTACTTTAGAAACAGCCTACAGTCTATAAATACTCCATTACGTAAAGTCAAAGTCCTGAATTCTCAATGTAACTTTAAATAAATATTATACTCAAGAACAAGTATGAGAAAAATGTTACACCTACCTCTTGTCCGGCAGTGGCTCAGTCAGTAGGGGCTTGGACTGGGAGCCGTAGGGTCGCTGGTTCAAGTCCCCGAACCGACCTAAATATGGAGTGTGAACTGCTTCTTGGAGAGGTCCCAGCTCACCTCCTGCCCTGCCGTGGTGCCCGTGAGCAAGGCACCAGACATTTCACTGTGTGCTGTGTGCTCTGCATGTGTGACCATTAAAGGTCCCAATTCTATTTTATTCTAGTGTGTTGTTAGAGTTTGACGAGCAGCAGGCATTAACGCTTAATTATACTCTGTGTTAATAATATTGTAATCTGTTTCTTCACAGTGGAGAAGGGTCCGGTTCCCAACCTGTTCGAGCAGAAGACTCCGGTCAGCAGCTTCGACCAGCAGACGTCCGTGAAGGTGGTTTACTACAGAGCTCTGTATCCGTTTGATGCTCGCAGCCACGATGAGATCAGCATCGCCCCGGGAGACGTCATCATGGTACGCAGTATAAACACAAACTTAACGACCATACACTTGCATCCTTAGGTCGTCTAACGTCGGTACAGGAACACAGGAGGAAGTCTGTCATGTCTGTAGCAGCTCGAACAAGGAAAAGGAAACAAACATATATTTTTTTTACAGGAGGAAGAAGATGGTGCAGGATTTAGCAAAACACCGTCAGGGAATTTAATCAAATGTTTTCACTCGTTAATTTGGTATTTTTATTTTATGTTATCAACAGCCTTAAAATAACAATTTATAACATGAGAAATGTATTTCTTACGACAGTGAACGGCTGTGTTGTGTCTGTAGCAGCTCGAACAAGAATAAGACAAACTAACTGATCGATACACGCATACAACATGAGATTATTTATTATTAATAAGTGAAGGCTTACAGAATATAATGTACTTAATGAATTAGGCCTCACACCTACGTACATGCAAATTGATAAATCTGCCCTTTAATCGATTGACGAAGACTCACTGATATCAGAATACAAACCCCCTCCTTCTGATGTTGTTGGCCATAAATATTTGACGTTAAATATCAATATATTTGAGCACTATTTAGCTTTGAATATATTCCAGTATTACATTATTATGGTCAATTTTGAAGATGTATCAGCAATCGAGCGTAGGTCATTTGTAAATCCGAGGGGATCGTGATTGCAGCCAGAAATACAATGAGTGCATCTGTAAGCGTGTCTTTGTAACACAGTTATAATAACGAAAAAAATTAACAATAGGGCGTTAGGACTCTTAACGTAAAGATTAGATTCATAAAAAACGTATTAGGTTAAGGTTTCAATAGCTGTTTTAAAAGCGACGATGAAATACAAAGATATTCCCTCAAGACCAATAACGTTTTAAATTTGGGAGGACTTAACCGTGTGTGTGTGTGTGTGTGTGTGGTCGTGTGTGTGGTCGTGTGTGTGTGTTAGCTTCCCTAGAGATATAGAGAGATAGAAAAGTACAGTCCATTGTTATTGATTGTATCAGTCTTATTGTTATTGTTATTATTGTTTGTCCTCCTCGGGTTCTTTGGATTAGAGTCAGAAGCGTAATTGTCTCTAAATCATTTGTATGTCAATCTGACGATTAGGATCCACTCTGCAAAGATTACAGAGACATTAACCTCCATTAAAACTCATA